GCCGGTGCTGGCGGCACCTTGCCGGGGGGGCTCGGGGTGGGGAGGGCGCGGCGAAGCCTGCTTTTGCCACAGCCCCTTTCGCGGGCCGGTGACCCCGGGCCGTGTCAGGGCCCCTCGCTGGCCGCCCTGCCCTGCCTGAGGCCTGGCCGCCGTCTGGAAACTTTGGGCGTGCGGGAGTAGTTTTACACAAGTCTGTCGCCTCAGAAGTTGTCGGTCCTTTCCCCGCCTGCCCGCAGCGCTGCCGTTACCAATAATAATGCGTTACCACCGCGTTGCCCAAGTAAGTGCCTTTGGGTGCCGTGCAGCGAGTGTTGCCTTGCCTGAGGAGGCCTCCCAGCAGGCTGGAGTTGCCCAACCCTTTGGCTCTGCTGGTGTAGCTGCTCACGGGCCACAGTGTCAGCCGGCTGCTGAAATGGTTTGGGTTCAAGATAACTCTCTCTAGAAAAAGAATGAGCAGGGCATATTCTTTTATCATTGATCACTCTAATTATCTGGTTTACCTCATGGTCCTACAAGCACTTGTATTGGCAAAGCAAAGGGGGGCAGTAAACAACGGTGAAGGGGTGGGAACTTGTTATGTTTATTATGCTGAAGGCAAGAGGCAGCTTGCTACTTAAGCAAGCTTGCAGCCTCAGTCAAAACCCTGTTGCATATGTCACTGTAAGAAAGTTTGCTCTTAAGCAGAGACTGTAATCTGAATATATGATGAGAGCCAATTCGGGCTGAGCAGGTGGGTGGAATATGCAAAGCAATAAGATAATTTGGATCATTACGATATGTGGTGATTGCAGTTCACCAGCTGTTTGAGCTCTAGTAGGAAGCGTGACAAAAATTTTTAAGAGGAATTTTTTTTGGGGAAAAGGACATCAGTTTGGTTTTCCAATAATAGCGTAATCCTCTGTCTGTGTCACTTAGGGCACTTTTTGCTGTGTGCAAAGAGAGTCTGCAGGTGGGGTATATACAACAAAAATGTTAAACAGTTATTGGCTAGCATGCACAAAAGAAACAGTGAGGCTTTAATGAGCTGCTAGGCTAAGCATTCATCTGCTCACAACCCCTGCTAACACACCAGGCAGCCATGCAGACAATAATAATCCTCTGTCTGTGTCACTTAGGGCACTTTTTGCTGTGTGCAAAGAGAGTCTGCAGGTGGGGTATATACAACAAAAATGTTAAACAGTTATTGGCTAGCATGCACAAAAGAAACAGTGAGGCTTTAATGAGCTGCTAGGCTAAGCATTCATCTGCTCACAACCCCTGCTAACACACCAGGCAGCCATGCAGACATCCCTCAGGAGGGGAAGGCTCAGCCTCTGCTGCTCAAAGTTGCTGAGTTGCTGTATTCTGGCTCCCTGGTGGTTTTTTTGTTTGTTTGTTTTAGTTCTTATACCTTTTTATGTTAGTGGTTTTCCTCCTGAGTGCTTGTGCTACTAATGGTCCATATCTCAAAAATGTTACCTCTCTGCAGCTCTACCTTTCTTATCTTGGCTTGGCTCTACTGTGCAGCTTCTTAGAACGTAGCAGCTTCCTCAGAAGTTGGAGCCAAGGTCATGCAGCTGCACTGTATTCAGCATGGGCCTTGGATCCACACCAACAGCCATGGGAAAAGGGCAGGGGAAGGTTACAGGGAGAGTGTTTTTCATCAGAAGGAAGACATCTGAAAAGGCCTCCGAGTGACATGAGCTTTTAGAGTGTAGAGGGAGTGTAGAGGCAGTGCGGAATATTTCATGGTGAACTAGGTGGGATGGATTCTGAAGGGCTTGAAAAGTAAAAACCCAAAGAGACTGTCTGACACAAGAGAGCTGGGCATTGTAGCCAGGAATATGGAAAGGAAGCATGATGAAATGAAAAAATTAATTTGGAAAAATGGTGTGAACAGATGGAGGTGAAAGCATGTGACACTTGTCTAGATGGACTTGACAGGAAGAAGCTTAACTAGTTGATGGATTGGGTGTTATTTTAACTGGACGGATAGAAATGAAAGGCAATTATGGATGAAGTGTTAAAAATGTAGCTTGGATGTTATTCTTTTATATCATTGCTAAAGCAGGTGTAGTGGGAGGTAGTTTGTGGCTGTATCTGCATTAGGAAGCTGTTTTTCCTGTCTTTCAAGGGGGGGGGGGAAATAGGTCAGTAGCGGTGTAACTTTAGATTGTACTATGTAGAAGCACATACACCGCTACTGCTCTGAGCAGGATGGAAGGACTTGCTAGTAAAAATGCATATACTGGGACTGTGCTGGAGATTACATTGCTTGGTACTGCAGGAAAAGTAGGATCTATGTGGGTTTTTGTCATCAGCGCACCCTCAGAATGTATTTCTTGTTATATACTGCATGAAGGCACCTGGAAATTCTGCCAGATGGATCCAGGGCTTGTGTTACTGTTTCCCTTATTGGTGGGTTGGGCACCTTACAGTTCTGAAGGAAGGTGCAGTCTGAGCACTTTTCATTCCAGTGGACAATATACAAATAAGGTTGCAAAGAATGGATGCAATATAAAAGTAGCGTGGATGTACTAGCACAAACAGTAACCACCAACGCAGGAGTTGGTGGAGAATAAGCTGCAAAGGGCGTTATAGCAGGAATTTGGTCATGATGGTTGCTAAAGGCTTGACAGAATCTAGCCCAATGTGTTCCTCCTCTCTCTGTTTTCACTAGTGGTCTGCCAGGCTGCTGCTGGCTGGTCCTGGGGGTTTTAGTACTGGAGCGTGAACTGGGTCAAGGCACTGTCTGTGCATTGGGATTCATGAACTCTTGTGCTGGGTGCAGATTGTCTATTGCTTCCAGTGATAGCCGGGTGCTGGAACCTGTGTTTTAACTGCCTGTTGCTCAGGTCCAACAGTGACTCTGCAGATTCATCACATGGATTAAGTGCAAGCTTTTCCTGGAACTTCACTGAAGAGTTTAATGACTACTCGGCTTTTAACTAACGTGTTGCTTTAGAAGCTATAGGTTAACTTTTAGGCAGAGGTTTATCCCCCCCTCTTGCATGATCGAGATAATTTTTGAACAACTTTCCTTTAGACTTGAGTGATACACCTGCAAAATACCTTGAAAGGCAAAGCGTGATCACACTGGGTCCCAAGTGCATGCAGTTGGTGGTGGGGGCAATTACTAGCCTTGAAATATTTCAACAAGTGAGTCCAATCTTAGTAGCAGTGGCAAGTCAAGGGATATTGGATTCTAAAAGCAAAAGTATCTCAGTTCTTATTTAGAGTCTTTATAAATATTGATTGAGGTCCAGGGCTTTGGCATTAACAAACTAATATAGATCACATTATTTGCACTACCTTTTTCAGATAGGGAATAAATGGTTTGCCAAGTAAGTCAATATGTGAAAATACCATTTTGTCATCTGTTTGTTTTCTTTTTATTTAGCCAAGAAGTGTTACAGTATATTTTTTTGAGGGGTCCACACTGAAAAAAATACACTTATTCATGTTTGGTTGTATGTGGGGGTTGTGTATATGCATCTGTAATCTTAAAAACTTTCAGGTTTGTTAGCCTAGGCAATTAAATGCAAAATACAGTGCTTGATGGGCTGCATGCAAGATTACAGAAGTTACAAGTTTTGGATCCTGATGTCATTATAGTGTAGATGTGCATTAGTATTATGTTCTCTACAGGAGTATTTTTGCTATTATAAGATGATCTATGGAATAATAATAAGTCTGTACAGGAGCCGAGTGACAATGTGGAGCAGCCAGAGTTTTCAATGTGCACAAGTCTGAGTAAACCTCAGACTCAAAATGTCAGGTTCATTTTTCCTGTGGATATTCTAATGAAAAGCTAACAGAGATGTGTTCACCAGAATGTCACATGTTTGGTTGGAATCTCTGCTGTGAGTTCTGGAATGAAATGGAAAGGAGGTGAATGGTTGGATGTGCTCATCCCTTTCTTCCTGACTGGATCAGCTGATCCCAGGGTTGATGACAGATAAAGCAAGAGTCTGCCTGAACTTCTGTTTGCCATGGCTTTTATCTTCCTGCCTTTGAGCTGCCAATACTCGTGCTCTGTCGAGGTTTTGTTTAGTTCCAGATGAAGCATCTTGGATCTGCTGCTGCACAGCAAAGTACTTGCTGTTCTAAAAATCCACACGCGTGTGCTTCTCTTGGCCCTGAGGGGTAGTTCTCCTGTGCAGTCAGTGACTGTAGCAGGATTCACTTGGCGGCATGTGTTAATGGGACTGACCTATTGACAGTATAAATTATCCATTTGAACCGAAAATGTGGAAAATGCACTGATGCTTCTTAAATGTGATGCGTTTAAAGGATAATTGTTAACTATATTCAGTGTCGTCGTTTTCATAAGCTGTCACGGTGTCCTGATAATTTGACACCTCTACAACTTATTTATAAATGTTTTGTGCATTTAACTGTTGTTTTCTGCAGCTGCCTAGAAGGTCCCCATTAGCAAAATGCAGTTTCCTGTTTCTGTCTTTATGACATCTAGAAAATGTAATTGCATAAAGTGAAAAGAAAAAGCCATTTGTACAGCCTGATCATCATAGGTCATGAAACAAGCACAGCCTAATAAAGTGTTGGCACGAAAGGCGACTCTTACTTTTCTCCCCTTGCTCCTCCATATGCTCATTTGTAGAATAGCAAATTATAAACAAGAACATTATTTAATCCTTGCCTCTAGCAGTCTTCCTTGTATGTGCTCTGTGCGGCTTTGGTTGAGAGAATATGAATCCCAAGTCCCATTTTGACAGAGACTAGAATTTTCACATGATCATGCGATCCCTCTGATGCTCACCCAGCATCAAGCCTTTATGTCTTGTGGGATTTAGATTCTTCTGTCTTTCTGGAAATGTAGGAAAAGTGTTAAAATGCAGCTCTTAAAGTCCAGGGACTAAGCAGAGCGTATTGATCCCTTCCCATTCACGTACACATTTGCTGTGAGAACGCTGACCTAGAAGCACTGAGAGTTAGTTTATTAGTTTTGACATTGGGATTCGTTAGCTGTAATTCAATTAGAAGCACGCTGATGGATGTGTTTGTATGCTGGGGCTGGCAGCTGCTTTAGGTTCAGAAACTTACAATTCTAGTTTTGTGCAATCTTGGGTAAGATTTGTATTGCTAGGGTAAAAGTGACATCGTTCTTGATTTGGTTTTTAATAGATTTCTCTCTGTTTCCAATTATGTTTCTAATTAGAATAATGTCTTATTTCCCATGACAGTTAAAAAATAATGCAAAGTCTGAAAAGAGAAGCTATCAAGATGATTGAATAATGTTTTCTTTTTCGTTTGTTAGACTGAAACCTTTTTCCATCTTAATTGGATATATAGACCTACTGTATATTGGTATTTACAGAAAGTTATGGTGCAGTAGTTGCTAAGCTTTCTTCTGTCAATGTGTCTTGGGGCCGTTTCCATTCTCACCCCAGCACACGCGCCAGCCCTTGACCAGCCAGCTGCGCATATTCCCTTTCTAGCAGGAAGACAGAACACCTCTCCACCTTTCTGTATAAATTCAGCTTTTCAGGTGTGAGATCTGCTGCTCTCTGTCCTACCCTTTGCTTTCCCATCCAGGCAAAGCTCCTTCCCTTCACGCCTGGAGTAGGGTCTTTTGCAGCAGCATTGTTTCTCCAGGCCCAAAGATGTTTTCCTGCCGCTTAGAACTGAGATTTACGGCTCAAGGGATGGATGTCTGAATAACAGACTCTGGGAGCCTGGGAGTCCTAGTTGAGAACATAGTTGTAGTTTAAGACAATCAAAAGCTGTCTGCAGTGGAAAGAATGTAGAAGAGATCTGGAACTGGCATTCAGTAGTTGCTGGAACTTGCTCCTTGAGGGAAAGACAGATCTAAACATGCTGTGGTTGTGGAAGGGGCTCAGGCAGTCTGGGATGGAGGCTAAATCCAAAGCTGTTGTCCGTGGCTGCCAGCTCAGAAAGCTCTGGGGTCTTGGATGCTGACTGCAGTGAACTTACCTCTCTATGCATAATTTAGCATGGCTGAGTGCAGCTACCACAAGAAGCCTGCCCATGTTTTTCTGGAGCATGACTTAAGTCAAGCCTCTGCCTGAGGTATGCTGCTGCTGTGTGTGTAATTACCTTTGGAGGTATGGGAGAGAGGTTGGGAGCTCAGGAATATGAGAAGGGATGGCATTCCCTTTCTGCTAAGTACCTCTGATAGTGCTGCAGTGATAGAGGAGGTTAGAACAGTGCTAAAGCTGTGATGCTTGCCAGAAAAATCTGTGATTGCGGATAAATACATATTTGCAAGGTCAGTGGTGATGTGCTTTGTAGCATCAGACATGAGGTTGAGAGTACATGGCAAGTCATGCGTTCTGACTCAGCCCCTGGAATGGGTTGACTGTCGCAGAAGGTTCAGGTCTATAGCTATGGCTGTTACTTTTTGTAACAGCTCATTTTGTAATAATCATACTTCCTTTTTTCTTTAATAGTATAACCAGTAAGCATGAGACACCGATTACTTATAGTAAAACCTGTTTGTGTTTCTAGAAAACGCTTTGCTGTCAAATGGATCAGGAAATTCATCTGGTTTAAAAAAAAAAAAAAAAAAAAATCCCTGCAAAGCTTCTCCCCTGTGTTCCTCCATCCTCCTCCCAAAACTGAACAACATGTGATGCTTTTGAGGCTGGGGTTCTTCTCTGGCTTGATTTGCAGAGCAGCTGGCACAGCTGAGGGATGTCAAGGTGCAGAGGTAGGAATGAGCAAGGGTGGCAGGAGTGCTTTAGGGAGGCTTTGCAGCCAAATGTTTCCTAGGGTTGGACGCCGCCACAGTGTGCAAAAGCAGAATTTGAAATGCTTTGGTAGGCAGCAAATTAAACAGATGAGAGAAGACTTTTTCAAACAGTTTCAGGAGCTTTTTGTCACAAGGTGTCCTTGAGGCTTGACAAGCGTCAAAAAGGACTGGGTATCCATTCAGTAACAAGTATCACAGTTCCTGCAATGAGATTGAAAAATACATACTTTTCTAGATGTAAACTGCATTGGTCTGGATCATGAATCAGTTTCTAGCAGAGACGAATTGAGAAAATTTATATGTAAGGAGCTTATTCTGTATCTGCCTGTGTCTGGACTTTTGCATCTTTCTTTGAAATGGGATATAGGACTAGATGGGACCTTTGATCTGATTTTTTATCTAGTATAGTTATTAAAGCCCCTACTTTCAGCTTGTGAGAGACTATTAGTATTTCGGTACAGCGAAAAAGTCTCTCATGGATGAGGCAGGCCAGATATGCCTTGAAGAAAAGTTCAAGTTTCCTTAGCCTTTTTTGTCTATTCTTACCTTCAGGGTATACAGCATGGCCCAAACAGAGAAGAAAGGTGGGCTGCTCCGGAAATCTTCAGCCTCCAAGAAGCCATTGAAGGAGAAAGTTGTGTTGATGTATGATGAGATTTTCACGGTAAGGACTTAAGCATCTCTTCTTTCTAAAGTGTTGTGTTAAATTTTCTTGGATTAGTTTGTGCGGAGGGCTCTGCATGGTGGATTCTTTTCCCAAGGTAAGGACTGCACAGTGTAGGCACACGTTTCAGGCTCTCCTACTGTCATGCAGAGCTCTCTATTCTGCTCTCTTCCTTAATGTCACCTTGTCCTGTTGCCTACCAGGACCATTTGTGATCTACGGGAAGTTGTGGCTTTTCAAGTATTTCTCAGAAAATAATCCAGAAAATAAACAGAGGCATCCCAATTGAGAGCTGCTTCTGTTTGTCCTTCTGTTTCTGGGAATCTGTGTAGACAGAATTCTATACTGTGAGACCACTTGGTCATCCAGTGGGATGATGCTGACTCTGAGCTACTCATGATAAGGATTTTCTTTAAATTCTGCCTGAATGATTTCTTCTTGTTTGCTCTCATGGCGGTTCCTTTTCCTTTCAGACAGAGGACCCCAGTAAATGCAACCCTAGGTTTTGGGAGGAGCTGTTTCTCATGAAGGTAACAGGAATTGAACATCCTCTGATTTGCCGCTGCTGTTCTGCCTACAAAGTGGCAGACTGTCAGTGCAAGGACTTGCGTTTCTAAGGTGTCAGTGGTTGTGTAACATGCATGAACTGCTTCTTAACCTGACAGGTCAACTTGGAATACCTAGAAGGCAAGCTGGAGGCTCTGGATGGGGAAGAGTTAATGAAGATAAAAGATAACATCAACTGCTTGTTTCAGCACTGCATCCAGGCCCTGGGTGAGGAGCACCCAATCAGAGTGGTCAATGCATTACAGGTACCACGCTGAGAGATAGGGAATGCTCTCTTTTGCTTCTAATGAGGCAATATATTTGCTGCTGGTATCAAACGTCTTGTGCTCATTTCTTTGCTTCTGAGGAGAAGTGATGTCTACAGAGGAGTTGCTACTTATTGTCTGTGGAGGTTACAAACGTTCATAGTCTCTTTAGTCTTTGAAGAACAATAGCTTGTTTCAGAATTCAAGAGGATCTGGTGATGCAGGATGAAGCGGATGGCAATGGGGGGACAAGAGGGGCTTGTTCACAGTGCAGGTGGTCAGTTTGGGGGCTCAAGAGTACTCTGTGTAGCTTTGTATTCTGCTTTCTCCTGTTCTCCCTCATTTCAGCCTCCTTTTTGAATTTCCATATAGATAGAAAATGAAATAAAGCTCTGGAGATGTTAGTGTGAAATTTATACAGGGGACTGTCCCTGCTGGACGCTTCCTAATTGGAAGCTGTAAGAATTGTCACCCGGAATTAATAACCATTTTCCTACAGGTTACTCCTTACCAAAGCTATGCTGTCCCATGTCTTGTGCAGGAGACTCCCCTCCTCAGTCTTGATGTTTGACGTTACTAGTTCACAGGCTGATTCTTACAGTCTGGTGAATGCATTTGTCTCAGCTTCTCTCAGCTGTAGGAATACAGGATATGAATTTCAGATTTGGAGAAGTCACCTGTAGGAGACATTGGACAGGCAGTAATCTGGGAAAAGTTGATTTAAAACAGAATATGTACACCTCTGACATACAATCTTGCATTGTTTTATTTTTATTTTTTTTTAGAATTAGTTTGAAATGATGCTGTTAAATATTGTAGTTACAGCTACATAGACAGTCTAGCCCAGCCCTGAATTCCCAAAATTGTATTCAGGCTCTTGGCAAAAGTTAGGCCAGGGCTCAAGTCTAGAATCCTGCTGTGTGAGTGTAAATAGGAACCAGGTAACACATCCTGAGCTTGAGTTGGGAGAGCGTTCCCTTAATCAGATTGTGTTCATGTGGAAAGTGATCCCGAAGCCAAAACTTATTTAAGCAACCTTTTCTTGAGAATGACCATGGTGAACAAAGGTTTGTTTAGCCCAGTATCCTGTCTCTGACAGTAACGAAAAAAAGGATGTCTACCTTACCCTTTTGCTTCTGTATGGTTCTAGTGGTCTGCTGATTCCTTGAGGTCTGCTTGTCTCCAGCTTCACATCTTCTGAAACTAATTACTTCTCACAGGTGAATTTAAGCTGGAGTCTAAAACTGCAGTGGTTATATTCCTGCTCCTTCCCTCTTCACAGACCTGAAAGGTGCCTGATGACAAAAGTCTTTTTTTGACAAAGAGACAGTTTGTTGGTCAGACTTAGTATAGCAGCGTGGTAACCAAACAGAAATTTGTGCTCTCTGTAGCAAAAGCATCTGCTGTATGGACAGGCATAATGTGATAAACTATGCTGTATGGGTGTTGTATGTTTTGGCATGCTTGAAGCAAGAAATTAATCTGGAAAGCTCTAAGGCATGTCTATCCATACACTGCTTCTGCCTCGCAGTTTCCTGATCAATATTTTTGGCCTTAAAGTCACACTTAGCTATTTTCCAAAGATTGTGGTCCTGTCTGGTACAAACTGGGTCTGGACAGAAATAGCAGTAAGATTATCTTTCCTCAGAGTGCTGTGGAATGAAGGGGTGAACAAACAGGAAAAATATGGACAAATATAGTCTTCTCTAATTTTTTTGAGTTTTCAGCATCCAGGATCCTCCTTAGAAACAACAGAGGTGGAGAGGTCAGACAGAATGTATGGCTTCCAGGCTGGTGGTATTAATTTAAATACCTGTGCTTTGCCAGTGCTAGGAGAGGGTCTTAGGGCGGGTTCTGCTATTGAGTTGTAGGTGTTGCCTTACATCTTACCCTCTGATTTTTCCCTTTGCAGACTTTGTGTGCATTGATTCGGGGTGTCCATCAGAAGAACAAATCCACTTCTGGGTTTGACATCATCAACATGCTTGTGGGTTTTGATAAGGCAGAGCTATGTATGAAGGTGAGGCCCTGGCAATGTAGAGAAACAGTTTGCGCAGCAGCCATGTTGCAGGGGCAGTGATTTGTAGACAGGTGTGCCTACCAAGGTGCAGCTTTTGGGGGAAATATTCCAGCCACTTATTAAAAGCAGCTAGAAGAGAAGAAGTAGTTCTTTACCTGCTAGTGGCTCAAAGACAATTGGGGTCCCTGTGTTTGTTAGTAATATAACAGAGCACTTCTCTTTCTTTTCCTTTAGTTCCATGCTGTGCACTCACTATGGTTAAGAAATCCTAAGGCCAGAAAAGGCTGTCACAGGCTATTAGTACCTAGTATTGAACCTCATATCTTGTGCTTATTTTTTAGCTGATTATCCTGTGTTCTCACATTTCCATCAGCACATGTACCGTTTTAAATTTACTTGATGCTCTTCACTGTAAAGATGTTGAGTTTTGGGAAATGACAATGTAATCAATGATAAAGCTGAATTCCTGTCATATCTTTCATCTCTCTACAAAAAGTAGTAATTTTTCATCTGTCTACAAATAGTACATTTGGGGAAAATATTAAGTACTAGTTTGCTTATCAGAACTACGTTTTTCCTTTAAGAATAACTGTATTACCTGTAACTTAGTATTTGGAAAACAATTATTTCTGAATATC